TGTAGAGGTTCAGTTTAGTGGATTATTTCAAAGATAATCAGATCTGACCTTTCTTGTAGAATATAATTACTGATGCTCAGTTTTATGTTAGTAACATTTTGTAATATGTCACTGTCTAATCTCCACTTATGCCTTTAAATGGAGATTTTTTTCTTCTTTTTCTTCTTTTTTGAGTAACAGTTGACACACTGTGCTGAGTTAGTGTGGAAAGAGTGAATGCCCCTATCTCTATTGTGAGTTGACTAGACTGCTTCCATTTTTACACATTTAATACAATGTTGGGTTTAGGAATATGCGATCTATAGTACATTATACTAAGGTATGTTCTTTCCGTTCATATTTCCAACATGGCTATTATGATTATATCAACACAATCATATTCCTAATCTCAGAATCTAGAAATAGCTGTCTTGCAATTAAATGTCTGTATTTGTTGAAGCAGACTTGTATACCTTAGCTTTGAAAGGAAATATATATGGTTATCACATTTTTGGTTTCTTCAACCTCTGGTCGGATTTCTTCTATTCGTCATAGTTTTCATTCCATCCTAGAGTTAGAATATGGCCCCGATATACCATTTTCTCAACTTCATTTGTGGTCATTTCATTTTTTGTTGATTGTTTTATTGTTACTTTCTTATTTTTTGAAGTAGATGGCAAAATATAACGCGGTTGCTTATTAGAAACTCACTATGCCTTCACGGCCGGATGGAAATAACAGAGTTAAACATTCGTCTGCAGGCAGAGTGGTGAGATTAAAGACGTGCCAGAACACCATGATCCTCTAGGTTTTGGGTTTTCTTTCATTTCTATGGGTGCTTGGGCAGCTTATGTCTCTGCAGGAAGTGTGCCTGGGAAAGTCATTAGGAAAAAAAAGACTGTGGTTGGCGGTTTTGGAGGACCCATTACTGGAAGTTGGGCGGGGTTAAGAGGAGCTGGGCCTAGGGACCAATCGAAAGGACCGGAAATTCCACCATTTTTCTGTAGGACTCGGGGAACCGCGTGGTGCATAGCCGGGTCCTCGGGGCGGCCTGGGAAAGTCACAGTCAGCAGCGCAGTGGCGGGGAACCGCAGCCTTGTGGCCCTAGGGCCCTGGAACCTCCCAGGTGAGAGGAGCTGCGGGGCTGGGACCCAGGAGGGAGGGGATCCGGCCTCAGTCAGCTCCAGGCTGCCCGTGGCGGTGCAGGAGGTGGTGATTACATTAAACATTTGTGCGTTGTCATTGTGTGTGTGTGTGTGTGTGTGTGTGTGTGTGTGTGTGTGTGTGTGTGTGTTTGTATTGTTGTTTCTTCATTATAATATTTGCTTTGTGGTTTCTTTTCGCTTCTTGATAAACTCTGGGTTTTATATATTGTATTATAGAATGTTTTCTAATAAGTTTCTCCATTCTGTAGGCTGTTTCTTCATAATTTCAGTCATTACCATTTCTATGCAATATTTCAATTGGACGCAGTCAAATCTCACCAATTCGTTGGTTTGAACCTTAATTTCACTCTTTTACATGTGGATATTTATTTCTCCCTACAACAACGATTAATGAGACTGCCTATTTAGTAACAAGGCTTTGGCGTTTTGGTGAAATTGAGTTGGTCGTAGCTGTTTGGATTTGTTCTGAATCTGTTGCTCTTATTGCTTCACGTGTTTACACTGTTTACACTTCTGTTGCTGCCATGGTGTTGTTTTTCCTTTGGGTGCAGTGTCCTTTTTTTTTTTTTTTTTTAATGCCTTTAATATAGAAAAGGGTGTCAAAACCCACTACAAATGATTGGAGCCACCATGTGGATGCTGGGTATTAAACTCAGGACCCCTGGAAGAGCAGCCAGTTCTATTAACCATATAGCCATGTCTCTAGCCCTGAAGTGTCATCTTTAATCACAACTGGGATAACTCAAGCTTTGCTGTTTGTCGGGCCTTTCTCTGCACCCTTTGTAAATAATTTAAATTTGTAGAAGTCTATTTAGCTGTGAAGTAACTCATGGGTGGCTTGATTGTCATGAATTTTGAATTAATCATATAAACCTTTCAATACAGTCATATTCACAATAATGCATTCTCTTCTGTGTGCATGCTTGTTTTTTCCATATTCCAGTGTCACCCTCTATTCTGCAGTGAGTTTGACTTTCTATGTTACTTGCCTTATTTGTGCTTGGTTGTTTTTTTTTTTTCCCATTTTTTAAGTCTACCTTTTTGACTCTTTGATTAAATAAACAGAAGCAGAAACAGATTGTATAAATCTCTATTGGCTGGTTCTCCACATGAAACAATCGTTTTACCTCCAAACAGACATATCTCCTAAGTTCTAATTGTATAAACATTGTTCAATATTTAATTAGTAATGATTGATAGATAATGTTTACACAGTTTTATTTACTCATCATTAACCCCTTGCCCACCACCCTGTCCCATCCCTGGGTAGACATGTTTTCTTTCCGTTTGTCCTTCTCATATTTCATCATATTTCATGTATTATTTTGTGCCAGTTTTGACCAGGTAGTAAGGCTGTAATATGTCAGTATTCCAATTGCCATATCATGTGCCAAAATATTTTTTTTTATGTCACCTCCCTATCCTCCAGCTCTTAAAATCTTTTAACTTCTTGTCTGTAATGTTGCCTGCAGTTTAGATATGGGAATATGAAATTCCTTTTTCAAGCTGTTGTATGGGGCAGTCAGTTGTTCTCAGTATTTGATGAATTGTGAGTCTCAGAAATAACTGTCCATTGAAAACAGAATACCTTAGACCCAGGCTGAAAGCAACGCCATGCGGTGGTGGGATCACAGTTAGTATAAGACAGTTTGAATGGTTATGCGTACAGCAGAGTGTCAGTAGTGAACTCTCTCCGAGGGTCCGGGACCCTTGCTCTCACAGGTTTTTGGCCAGGATGTCTGCGCCATGTATATATCTCCTTCTGTGGAGCCATCTTCTGATCAAACCAGGCCTTCTGTTACCCAGAGAATCATCTTCCCACAATGGTACCCAAGAGCATCCCTAGCCCATATAGCACACAGGATCGAAATCTGAGTATGGCCACTGATAACTCTGCATCCCGCCCCAGCCTCCCAGCCTGCATAAGCAGTTTTTGGTACTAGGAATGCTACCACCAATGAGTCCAAGATTTGTGTGAGCTCTTGAATTCTCATGCTCTTCTTGATGTATTAAAAAGAGAGAGAGAGAGATAGAAAAAAAGTGATTTTGTATGTGGATTATGCAGTTTTAGAAGAAGTTGCTCTGCTTTTCCATCAGTATGTGTACTTTTAAGTTACAGAATTCTATTTCTTATCTAAGAAGCCACCTTTCTTTTTTCTTTTTTTATTTTACATATTGATCCCAGTTCCCTCTCCCTCTCTTCCCCCCCCCCAAGCACCCCGGCCACCTACCCCTCCTATCTTCCCCCGCAACCCTCCACGCCACTCCACATACAGGGTGATGCCCTCCAGGAGGGGTCATCTAAATCTGACTTCTCTCCTGTCTCTAGATTAAGGGAGCATCCCTCCATGGGGGATGTGCCCGCAACGTCCTTTTGTGCACCAGGAATACATCCTGGTTCCACTGTCTGAGGTCCCTTAGACTGCTCAGGCCTTCTAGCTGAGACTCTAGACAGGGCTTCTCTTTTTTGTTTCGGAACCTGTCCTGGAACTAGCTCTGTAGACCAGGTTGGCTTCAAATTCACAGAGATCAACCTGCCTCTGCCTCCCCAGTGCTGGGATTAAAGGTGTGTTTCACCAACTCCTGGACTGAGCCATTTCTTTAGGCTCCAGTTTACATCTGGTACATACTTCTGACAGTATATTATCCTGTGTATTCTAGCTTTTTAAAAATGAAGTACAGAGAGACCCTGCCTTGATAATCCAAAAAAAAAAAAAAAGAGTAATCATAAATGATACTTGTCTGTGGTAAAATCCTGTTAGATGAATTACCTCAAATACTGAAGAGAATAAAGTTGAAATTGAGTGGTTTAAACTTTCATTTGAGTCAATCCCATGAGCAAAAATATACTCAAAATTAATAAACAGCTATAATACTTCTCATTCTACTGAATACATTCTTTTGAAAACAGATGTTTCTACTTCATCTCATTGGATTGTTACATGTTCCATATGTGTTTCTGAAGGTTCTACAGTGAAACATCATATGGAATTCATGAACTTGTTATAAGTATTTTTTGTGTCAATATTTGGAAAAATTTAAGTAACATCAATATTGTCTAATTCTCCCTTTCTATTTACTTCACTCCATATGACACTCAGGTATCCCCTGTGAGATTTTTAGATATTAGTCACATAAAATACCACTTCATGTTTATTTAAACCAGGGAGTATATTTTCCAAAGAATTACTGAACAAAGTGTTTTCCCCAGTTTATTTTCCATCTGGGAGTTATAAAATGTCTTGAAGTTTCTCTTATGACATCTCTTTCTACTGGTATTTTCATATCATAGGGCTTTTATTCATGATTTGTTTCCTATCTTTTTGTGGGTAATATGAGGTGTAGTAATTTTCTTCCTTCTAGTTAGAAATGGTAGTTTGCTGTTTTGTGTGTTGAAAATAAAACTGTACTTCCAAGCTGCCCTACTTAACTATTCATTTTGTAAAGTGCCTTATTTCCTGGATTGCCATTGCTATTTTATCTCTGATATTTCTATGTCAATTTTTCCTCTGATCATGATCTGCAGTGTGCCTTGAGTGGATGACATGTCATTTTCTACCCTTCTTCATGTACCCTTGCTTCTGCATGATTTTTAAGAGCCTATGTTTCTGGGTACAATGATAAGGTTCATAGTCATTTTCTCTTACCACTCTAAATGTCACCTTCCATGTTCTCTTGTGGTCAGAATGTTGACAAGATTTCTGATATCCTTTGGTTTGTGGGATCTTTTTGTATGGTATAGCATTGACCAAAACAGAGTTGCTTTCTTTTCTTTTCAGATTTCTGTTTTTGACAACTAGATGTGAAATTTCAACAAGAATTCCAGGTTTTTATTTTTATTTATTTATTTTTTCCTGTGTGAGAAACTCAGAGAAGAGCAACGAGAACAATGAATGCTTTTGTGATAAATGCTCTCCAGGTCAGTGTGATATCCACAGTTCTCTGAAAATTGTTCTTATTATTGAAATAATTTAGATTTTTGATTCTCTACCACTGTCAATGTTATAGAAGATATCTGCTTTTTTTCTTTTCTTATATTCAAGATTATGTCTTTAAATCTTTCAACTATGTAGCAGGGACTGGCCCCATTATATTTTCCTTGATTTTATACTGTGAGGGTGTGAAATTCCATGGACTTTAGACTTGATGTATAAAGTTCTAAAACACAAGCTATTGTAAATGACACTCAAGAAATATATTGATGGCCATTTTTCCATAGAATGGAGTTGTATTCTATTTGAATAATGAGGTAGGGCTGTCTCATGTGCCAAATAGTTCCATTTGGGGAATGGACAGTTTTCCAGAAACAGGCTTGAGAACATGGACATAACTATTACATGGACCTTTTCAGTGATGTCATGGAGCACTTTATAGAGAGTAGAATTAGAAAAGACTCTCTATCCTGAACCCTAATCGTAAATATTTTAGCACCTAAGAGAGCCCAGATGATGGAAGGAATATGTGGCTTATCTTACTAGAAAGTTGTTGTGTCTGTGAAGAAATGATATTTACAGTATTTTGGTTTTCTCTTTTTGTCATATTATGTCACACAGTGATGAGGCGTGTGGTGACACTGGAAATGTATGAGTCTCAGGAGAGATTTCTATTGTGTAACTCTCTTTAGAAAATTCTTGTTTTTTCTTCATCTTTTCTTTCATTAGCAGAAGGGACCAAGCAGTGCTGTCTCCACATTTGTATGGCAATATGTGGAATATATTAGTAAGAATTTTCTAGAGAGTAGTGTCTTGGTTCTACACATAAATTATCAGACTAATTATTCATATTTAATGATTGTGATAAATCTTTTATCTGCTATTCGGGTCTTAGAAAACATCAGAAAATTCATGGAGGAGAGAGACCCAATGGGTGTAAACATTACATTATGTCTTACTATTCATTGTCTTTGAAAGAGTAGCAATACAGCACTGCTAGGAAACTCTTGTCCTTTAAAAATTGCTGTGCCTCATCAATATCACAAACATCTCTCTAATTCATTACTTTGTTTGTTTGATTTCCAAGTAATCATTTTTTGAAGCTCTGAATGGAAAATATGTAACTTTCCATTACAGGGTCTGTTATCATTCAGGGATGTGGCTGTGGACCTCTCACAGGAGGAATGGGACTGTCTAAACTGTGCTCAGAGGTCTTTGTACATGGATGTGATGTTGGAGAATTACAACAATGTACTTTTTGTGGGTAAGAATTCTCTTCTCATGGAATTCCTGATTCATCCTTTTGATTTCCCTACTTTGTGTATCTATAAACTATGTGAAACTAGAAAATGCCAGAAATGAGAGAAATTGTGGTTAGCAATATAACCTTTTAATGGTGCTTCATTTATATTTTCTGTGTTCTTTTTTCATTTTTGTTTTTTTTGTTTTTTTCCAGACAGGGTTTCTCTGTGTAGCTTTGGAAGCTGTTCTGGAACTCACTCTGTAGACCAGGCTGGCCTCGAACTCACAGAGATCTGCCTGCCTCTGCCTCCCAAGTGCTGGGATTAAAGGCATGGGCCACCGAACCCAGCTCATTTTCCCTGTTCTATAGAATAGAAACTAATGCTATATTTTCTGTGATCTCTTTAGCCTTCCTATGTATTAGTCAAAGGACATTTCAAAGATCAAAGAATATTGAATTTTCTCTGCATGAAATTAGAATAATTTTATTTTGTTACTGGATTTAACTCCCATAATCATCTATTTTTGATTATAAACAAAGCAAAAGGTTTTAGAGAAAGTGCTGTGTGTTCAGCTTATTTATTTATTTTGTGATATGATTGCTATGTTCAGTACTAGCACAGCATGATTTTAATATTTTCACTTTGGAGGCTAATTAAGAGTCCATGGTGAGTTCCATGCCAATCTGGGTTATGTGTTTCAAGTTATGTGACTCTCTTAAATACCCAAAAGCAGGGAAACATGTTTCAGATAATTCTCCACAGTGCTTCTTTCTCAAGTTTTTTCCTTCCCAAATAACTATGTGTCTGACCAGCTACATGGTACAGTTTCTGTATAAGAATGAGAAGTCTCTACACAGGACTGACCTATGTCCTCTACATCTGTATGACAGTTGTTTAGTTTGGTCTATTTGTGTGTCTCCTGGCATTGGGATCAAGTCCTTCCCTAATGCTTTGGCTTGCTATTGGGAAATTATTTCTCAGAGTTGGTTCCTTCACACAGCGTTAATAGAAATGAAGGGGATTAGATATACCTAAACATAATTTGAGATGCTTTGTTGACACCCATGTGAGGCCTGCCTCTTTTAGAATACAACTGAGGAGTTGATGGGGAACAATGTGGAGGCAGGGAGATGGAACAGGAAGAGTGGAGGGAAGAATAACTGCAGTCAGGATGTCAAAATGTGGGAAAAAAGAATGTAAGAAAAGTATGTGTATGTTATTTTAGTTCTAGTGGTTTGATGTTGGTCAGATTGGAGATTCTTAAAAGCATCCATTTAGTGATTGTAAAATGGAAAATTCCCGTTAATAGTGCTGTCCCTGAAAGTTACTAGTTTATTTGTCATAGAAAACCTAAGAAAACATTAGTTAATTGAATCTGTTACTCATGCATTAATAGCTATTATTCACAATTTTACTAATTTTTCAGAGAACCATTGCAGTAGTGGTAAATGTGAGAAGCAATTCCATCAAGACACAAAGCACTTTATCCATGATCATCAAAATATCCAAGAAAAGATTTATAAATGTAATGAGCTTGCCAATGTGATTCGTGAATCCTGGCAATGTACACCTTATGACACATGTGACACTGCAGATAATTACAACAAGTACAGATTTGGAAACCACAGGGATGCCTGTTTTGCCACCTTAAATCTCAATAGACCAAAAACTAGGAATGCTGGAGAAGAACCCTGCAAATATGAAGAGAGAATAACCTGCTTAAATTTGTGTTCCATCATTAGTCAAAATCAAAGAGTTCATAGACATATGGAAGAACACAAAAGTACTGAGTATGATAAAGCTTTTGACTCTAAAACAGAAATCTCACTGAAAGAAACAGACCATGGGAAGAGACCACACCAGTGCTGGAAAGGTAGAAAATGCTTCAAGACTCACTCAAGCTTCATTGGGCATCAGAGAACCTATACTAGACTAGAGAAACCCTATAATTGTACAAAATGTAGTAAATCATTTCTTCACTTTTTTCAACTGAAAGAACATTATAAAATCCATGGAAGAGAAAAACTCTGTGAATATACAGAATATAATAAGTGCTTTTCTCATACATCAAACTTGGAAAGACATTACAGAATCCACACTGGACAGAAAACTTACAAAAGTAGTGAATGTGACAAATCCTATGGTTCCTCGTCTCTGAGAAGACATCATAGAATGCACACAGGAGAGAAAGCTTGTAATGAATGCGAGAAACCCTTTACCACAAACTCTGATCACAAAACACATCAGAGAATCCACACAGAAGAGAAACCTTACAAATGTAGTGCATGTGACAAATCCTTTTCCTCAAAAGGCAATCTAAGAATTCATCAGAGAATCCATACAGGAGAGAAACCTTACAAATGTAGTGAATGTGACAAATCCTTTTCCAGGAAAGACCATCTTACACATCATCAAAGTAGTCATACAGGAGAGAAGCCTTACAAATGTAGTGATTGTGACAAATGCTATATCCAGAAAAGTCATCTTAATATTCATCAGAGACTTCATAGAGAAGTGAAACCTTACAAATGTAGTGAATGTGACAAATACTTTACTACAATCTCTGATCATAAAACACATCAGAGAAGCCATACAGGAGAGAAACCTTACAAATGTAGTGAATGTGACAAATTCTTTACCTCAAACGGCAGTCTAAGAATTCATCAGAGAATCCATACAGGAGAGAAACCTTACAAATGTAATGAATGTGACAAGTCCTTTTCCAGGAAAGACCACCTTACACATCATCAAAGTAGTCATACAGGAGTGAAGCCTTACAAATGTAATGATTGTGACAAATGCTATTCCCAGAAAACTCATCTTAATATTCATCAGAGAATTCATAGAGGAGTGAAACCTTACAAATGTAATGAATGTGGCAAATCCTTTACCCAGAAAGGATATTTTACAATTCATCAGAGAATACACAGAGGTGAGAAAAATTACAAATGTAGTGAATGTGATAAATCCTTTTTGCATGGCTCATATCTTAGAAGACATCTCAAAACTCATAAGTGAGAAAACTTACATAATGTAGTGAGTGCTAGAAATCCTTTACATGAAAAAAGAAGCTTGGAACGCAACAGAGAGATATATATATATATATATATATATATATATATATATATATATAAATATATATATATATATATATTTGAGAGACTTTATAATGCAGCAAATGTGAAAAAAAAAAAACCTTTAGTGTTGACTCATCTCTCAGAATGTGTTGTAAGTATGTGATTGTAGTCTGAAATCTTAGTGTTAATAGTATCAAATTTGGGCCAGGGTTGGAGTCTAGCACTAGTTGACCAGAAATATCCAGAGTGTATGGAGGTGCATGGCAGACAGATAAGACTCACAGTAAGAGTAGGAAGTAACTTGGAGTTTTTCAGTCTTTTTGGTTTTATATGGTTCGATGGACACTCTTTTATGCTGGGCCTCTGGCCAAAGAGGAAGTTAGTTGTTTGCTTCTTGCCCTCTGAACTGGTAGGTTTTCACCCCACCATTCTAACTCCTGACCCAGATTCAGCAAATAAAACAATTGAGACTTAGTTTAAAACTACTTATTGTGACTATTGTAGAACCAATGCCAACAAGACCAGACACCCCAGTAGGGCTCTGCCTGAGCAACACAGTTTTCAGTCAGGGCTGTGGGACCACAGTCAGGTGATACCTCTAAGCTGAGAGCAGAACAACACACATCAGTAAATGCATACAGAAGAGAAATCTGACATATAGCAAATATGAGAAATCCTTGGCTTTTTACTCATTTTTTAGCATATATTTATAACTCATTCAAAATAGAAACTTTACAGTCGTAATTATCTTTCTTAGTTTGGCTTGTATTGCTCTGAAGATACACCATGACCAGAGCAACTCTTTTAAAGAGAAGCTTTTAATTGCAGTTGGTTTATAGTTTCATTAATTTAGTCCATTATCTTCATTATGGGAAATGTAGTGACATGCTGACAGACATGGTAGTAGAGAAGGAGCTGAGCGTCCTACATCTTGATCCCGAGGCAGGAAAAATTGAGCTGTGTACTAGGTATGGCTTGAGCACGTTTGAGACCTCAGTCTCTGCCTCCATGGTGACACACTTCTTCATAGAGCCACTCTCCCTATAGGCAAAGCATTCAAACATGAGTGATATACTTAATCAAATCACCACAAATGTCAGTATGAGAAACGCTTTATCTTCAAAAGCACCCCAGCTATTCATATGTGAGAGAAAACTTAAGAATGTAAAAGGAAAAGTATTTGCCTGCCTCTCAGACCTAAAAAGTCATCTGAAAATTCATACCTGCTTAACAGTTGCCAAAGGAAACAATTTGGCATGTGCTTTAACCAAGCTCTCTTCGTAGGTACACTTGAGACTTCACACTGAAGAATCATTATGGTCATGAAATGGTTGTGAATGCCTTTATGTTAAAATTTTAGAAAACATCAAGAGTTTATTCAGACTGAAAATTTGAATATATACAGGGGACAGTTTTCATTAAAATTTTTAGTTGTTCAACCTGAAATACTTCATAATGGAAACTGAGTAGAGAAACCTGAAGTGTATGATGTTTTGGAGTAGTCTCCTGGTTATTGGAATGATCCCTTCCAAAGGGAGCTTATTAAGGCGGGAAACAAGATTCATAACATTTTCAAGAGTTCTCTGAAACCAAGAGGATTCAGTGTTCTTGAGTGAAGAAACTGCAGCAAGTCATTTACCTGAGGAGAAGATTTTAGCCATCAAAATATCATGCCCTTTAACTTGGAGATATGCCTACAGATATGGGCTGTGATTCTTTTGGAAATAAAAAACCCTTTCAGTGGGGGTGCCATTTTCAATGGTTGTATCTACTTTCCATGCATATAGAATGTAGGTTAAAAAAAAAAAAATCACTGACCAAAATCCTTCAACATTAACAATATCATGGTAAATTTTTAAACCTGTGCACTATGAGAAGACATCTCACATTGTACCCCTCATAGTACTGTCTTCTTCATTCTGTAACTATTAATACATATAGTTCTTGTCCATGGTGGTAGCAAGGCTGTATAAGATGGGACAAGTTCGCTTGACAGTTGGAGCTGTGTGGAAGAGTGCATGGTTAGAGGTGGTCATATGCAAATGATGGGGTAGGAATAATTACCATTCCAGAAGAGTGACTGCAAAGGAAGCAGAGTCTGCATGATTGGAGCCCTCAGCAGCATTTCTGGATTCTGTAAGAACGAGATTCCATAAGCCTGGTGGACTTTCACAGGCTGAACTTTTAGGAACAAAACAGACCAGGTATTACAACACCAGGAATACCCTGTTAGTTGCAGGACACCATATGAGACAATGTGGAGAAATCATAACTACATTGAGCTACAAAAGAATCATCTGAAAGAGGGTTTGCCACATCACTTGTATCCAAACAAGGTTCTCCTACTATCTGGCAGTTACAAAAATCTTGAAATTTAAATTAATTGATGCTTTCTCAGTCCATTGTTGGTTCACTTGCCAGTTCAAGCAAATGGCCTTTGCTACTGGAGTTTAGGCAAACCCTGGGAGCAGACTAAATATTAGTCCCATGTGTAGCCAGTGCATATTTGATTGAATCAGAAAGTATAATTTATTGAGTGGTTAAACTATTACCATTTTGTAAGGAAATCAATGCTCCACATTAATCTTTTATCTGAGATGTTTATGCACTAGGATGCAAATACTACATTCTACAATGTGTCTTCATCTGTTTTTTTTTTTTTAACATTTTTTTATTGATTCTTGGGGAATTTTACTACATGAATGTCAATCCCATTTGCCTCCCAGCCTCTCTGTATCTACCCTTCACCATTTTAATGTCTCCTTAAAGAAAAAATTTACAAATAAATGAAAAATATAAATTACAAAACAAATGCAACAGCCATAAAAAAAGAAAAAATAATAATTTCACCTATATCTTTTCTGACTCTCCATCGCTTCTTTCTTAGTGGCAATGGAAGCTATGGTGTGACATGCAGTGCACCCATTTGTCCAAACAAATTTACTTTCAATTGTTCATTAGATAATGAATTGTTGATCAAGTTCTACTACATCATCAATTCTGGACCCTCATTGAAGCTCCTCTCAGATATTCTTTTATGCCAAACTAGGACATTCTGTGGGTATGGTTCTGCAGATACTGCTTCTAGCAAATCATAGATGAGGTATACTTTCCAGTGTGTACTTTGGTGATAGCTGAGTTGGAGCTTGCGATGGTCACAACAGCCCTTGGATTTCAAAAATGGTTCACTTGGACTGCAGGTATAACAGGCAATGAATATCAACACAGACCTCTGCTGCATCTGGCCAGAGACCCAGACATGGCCCCTGGAGGCAACTTGAACCCATAAATCATTTTGGCTTTTGTGACAGCACAAGCCAGCCAGATAAGAATGAACCAAATGGCTTCTGGACACCAACTTACCTTCAGGTGATGGAAGAGACCCTGGACATGTGCATGGATTTCATTTGCAACAGGAGCCACGGACTTCCAAAAGGACCTTAGCTGCAGTAGGTCTGAGGACCCAGACATATCCCTCAAAAGCAGCTCTAGCACAGACCACATTATGGCCCCAGGGTGCCCCACCACCACTCAGATATGAATGGCCCCAGAAGCAGGATAGCACTCAGACACAAACATGACCACAGGTGGTTGCACAAGTCTCAGACATTTGTGTGGCCTTTGGTGGCAACACAGGCCATAGCCATCAACACAGTCCTGGCTGCAGTAGGACCACAGAACCAGGTATGGTCCTTAGCAGCTGTCTGGTTCCATCAGTCACCATTGCCATTGGAATCAGTGCAGACCACACAGATCAGCATGGAAACACCAGAAGCATGGCCCCCAGAAACCAACTTGAACCCAATTGGCAGTCCACACACAAGGTATCCACATGGTCATGGAAGGTAACAGGAGCCACAGAAATCAACACAGGCTGAGGCTCTGGTGTGGCCACAGACACAGACATTATTTCTCTTGGCAGAAGCCCATGTCTAGATGTCACATCAAACTGTTCTGTGCCACCTTTGCCTCTTCAGATAAGCTTCTCTCCACACAAACCACACAGGCTCTCTCCCATTCCACCAAATATTCACTCACCATGGTGGCACCACCTAATCCACTTGACAACCAATTGAACCCATGCCTGTCTTCTACCCACCTAAGCCAAGTGGTAATGGCCTGTGGTTCTCAATCTGTTCAGGAATAGTGGTGCCAGGTGGGACTAATATGTGAAGTTCTTAATGAGTGTGGAAAAGCAGAGTTTAATTGCCAAGACACTATCTGGCTGTAGTATATTTACAGTTATAAAATGCACTATAGATTAGGACAAAATGGGAATGCTTCTTTTAGGTAATTATGATCACTCAATTATATTAGAAAAATTGACTTTTAACTGTCTTTTGTCACCCTCTTCCACCAAAATCACTAACTTACCTTGGTGCTGATTGGTATGGGCTTCATTTTGTTGAATAATTATTTTAGCCTATTGCCCTCTCTCTCTCTGTGAATTCGCCATGTTGACAAAGTCTGGATTTACATGGGATCCGTCTCTGCTTTCTTCATGCTAAGATTAAAGCACTGAATCAACACTGCTGTCTTGAAACACTCTTTATTACAGGATTACAGCTTTCTCAAATTTTCATGTCTTTTTAGCATGATTTTCTTAATTTTGAAAAAGTGGCATATTTCTTTTGAAGCAAATATTGCAAATCATTAAGAAGGGAACACTTTTGTTACTGTGTTCCTCTGTTTTAATGAGAACTTCCTGGACATTTTTCTATTTTTCTTATTTTACATATCATTTCTATTTCTCCCGATACCCCCAACCCTCTCACCCCCCCCACTCCATTAGGGACGGTGATGCCTTCCAGAAGGGATCATGAAAATCTGTCAAGTCATTTAGAGTATGGTCTAGGCCATACCCCCTGCCTCTAGACTAAGGGAGTATCCCTCCATAGGGAATGTGCTCCCAAAGTCCTTTTGTGCACCAGGGATACATCCTGTTTCCACTA